TGATGCTTTAAACATGCTAGATGCTTTCCAAATACAGAAGACAACACAGTCAATACTCCGCAGACTCTACTGTTAAAATTAAGCCTGCTTATCCTTCAGTGGCAGCATAACGTGGGTGGGGGGAAGGAAGCAGACTGATAGGCACAACTGCCTTGGGCACCAGCTTGGAAGCGGTTGGTGGTGGGGCGGACGGGGACAATGAGAAAAGTGGTCGCTGATGGCAGCTATGCATTCACAATTGTGAATGTGGCGCAAACTGGAAGTTACTGTTTCTGCTTCGCCTGGGGCGCCCGGGCTTGTCCCTACACTGCTGTTCTCCAGCTTTGACTCGTGCACCTGATCTCTCTCTCACCTCATTCATCTCATTCAGCATCTGGGCACTTACACATGTGCCGGACGTCTGCTCCAACACGTGCTAATTAGAAGGCTCAATCCAGCAGCCTAAGCATCACATATCAGTGTCCTCGCGCTTCGAAATGACAGTGGGGGCACTTTAACTACAGGACATTGAATGAGCTTTAAAGTGCCCCTGCCATGGGATGCTGAATACACATGATGCTGCGGGTACTTTATTTAGAGCGGCTTTCAGAGCCACTCAAATTAAAGTGCGTCCCCACCCCCGCTCCACACCAGAGCAAGTATAAAGATGCCCCAGGTTTCTCTCTCAATCTTTTCCACCATCCTTATTATTAATGGTAAGAAAGCCTTTTCCTTTGGAGCTTATGCCACCTGGATCAGCCTTTCTCCATCTCTTTTGTCATGCCTGAAAACACATTGCTTCATTCTCTTAATTTCTCTCATTCTAGGTTAAACAGCCTTATGAGTGAATACTTCAATTTATTTACATTAGATAGTAAGTAGTCTTTCTGCCAACCATTATCAGAAGTTTATATATGCACACCACCCACCTTTTTATACATTATTTAACTCTGGAATACACTTTGCAGGGAAGATGCTATTCAGAATATAACTGTATTGTTTGGTATTGATCCGCTTTTCAAATGGTTCACATCTTATTACTGGACTATATTTTGCCTCCCCCCCCCGATTGTTTTGAGGAACTTAATGAACTGTTCTTGGACAAGGATATATGTAAATAATTTGTTAAAACATCAATAACACAGGTCATTCTGAAGCTGTTTGTAGAGAGACAGATACAGGTTATTTTTACATTTAATTTTTTAGACTGTCTTTCAAGTGCACAATATAAACTGAAGCAGTCAGCCAATTTTAGATAAACCTGAGAGGCTTGGCTGTGCAAATGCTATCAGAACCGTAAGCTTCATCTTCCCACACCCTTCAGACAGATAATTACTATGAAGTACCCAGATCCACAAACATTTAGTCATATATATTGTCTTGTCAGCATATGCAGGCTTCTAAGTTCTCCACGCACACATTTGAGGAGGCCCATCATCCATTATGTAGAAGCCTTGGTCATAGATTCACTTCATTCCTCCATATCCTAACTGTACACAAGCTTCAGAGGCAGATGGAAAGGCATGATAATCTCTCAACTAAATACCTAGGGACGTTTTTTCCCTGTCACAGACAAACTTGATTGAGAACTGCAGTCACATTGCTATTTCCCTGAAAACCTGCTCCAAAAACATAGCCCAACAATGCATCCATTTCACAGAGTGAGCGTATGATTCAGCTCAGCAGGCACATAACATTATTTTAAAGTACAATAATAGGTGTCTTTTTATATATTCAGATTTTCATAACGTTACCCATCATCATTGGATCTGCTGAGCTCTTTAAAGACATGTGAGCTCTTTAAACTCTCCTTGACTTCACTGGCCCCGCAATTTCCCAGGGCGTGGTCTACTGCATTGCTTCTAGAAATGAAGTACAGACAAGGAACGAGGAAGGATGGGTTCTTCTAACCTCACTCTATAGACTCCACAGAAAACTGCACCTAATTGCATTTAGAGACATCGAGTCATAGAAAATGAGGGTTGGAAGGGAGCTCAGGAGGTCATCTAGTCCAACCCCCTGCTCAAAGCAGACCAGCCCCACCTAGATCATCCCAGCTGAAGCTTTGTCAGGTGTTGAAAACCTCCAAGGATGGAGCTTCCCCCACATCTCTGGGTGACCTGTTCCAGTGTTTTACTATCCTCCCAGTGAGAAAATTCTTCCTAATATCCAACCTAAACTTCCCTTGCTGCAACTTGAGACCATTGCTCCTTGTTCTGTCATCAGCCACCACTGAGAACAGTCCAGCTCCGTCCTCTTTGGACCCCCTTTCAGGTAGTTGAAAGCTGCTGTTAAGGCCCCTCTCAGTCTCCTCTTCTCTAGACTAAATGAGCCCAGTTCTCTCAGTCTTTCTTCATAAGTCATGTCCCCCAGTCCCTTCACCATTTTTATTCCCCTTCGTTGAACTCTCTCCAATTTGTCTGCATCCTTTCTGTAGTGTGTGTGTGTGTCGGGGAGAGGGGGTATTGATTTGCGCTTTCCAATAGCAACATGGGCATTCAACAAATGGCCAGTCACACACGGATGCACTGGAGGCAGTACAGATAACAAATGGATAATGAAAGTTGCCCTATACATTTTATTTCAATAACTTCTGTCACATTTTGACCATTCAGGGCTTTATTTTTCATCCGGGGCATTTGCCTCAAAGTGAATATTTCACCAAAACAGCTTAGCAATTTTTTAGAATGAGCTCAGGGGAAAAGAAGTTGTTTTCTTGAGTTAAAAAAATTATTGTAAACATTTCACCACAGTGCTTTAGTACAGCCATGCTTAGAGGCAAGGAATTAATAACTAGCAGGGGGCGAGCAGGATGTTGCCTGGTCTCAGTTCAATGTGCCTTTTGCCATTTCCATGGAAATCCAGCTTAATCTGGCAAAACTGGAAGCTTCTGTAAGTATGAGTATGAGATCCAGCAATTAAACAGTATGAAAAAAACCCAGTATGAGATCAAGCAGCTAAAGGTGGTGTTAAATGCATATTTATAAAGGGACCAAATTTAAATTGCATTCCTAAATCTAAATACTTGCCTTTGCACCCATGCCACTCTTTTAATGCAAACATTCATACGGTCTAGAGGCACCGATGCATTCCTATCTTCTGAAAGACTGTGTTCCTAGACCCCTTCCAAAGCGAGAGCAACGGCCCATCCACATATAAATGGAAAACGTGATTTGTTTACTAATGGAGGTCAAACCTGCATGGGGGGGGTGTGTGCACGCGCACACACATGCACACTAAGAAGAGGTACTGGGAAGTTCTGAGCTGAGCTGAGTTTTAATTGAGCATGTGACATCAGACAATTGAGCAATTAAATTAACATTATTCTGCACATTAATGATTCTTCTGAAAGAGATGACCCACATTCAGAATGCCTCATTGCTCCCAAGCCTAGGATCAGTTGTCCCATCTATTTAATTTTCTGAATACTGGCTAAAATTAGGATACTGGGCCAGCCGGGGCATGTTTCTGTTCAAGTAGGTACGGACCTTGTGGGGTGCAGTTTTTAAGATGATCTTTTTCTCTGCCTGCTCGTCTAATGCCAAGATCCAGAAAACCAATGCTAAAACCAAGTCAAACCACCCCCAGCAAAACAAAGGATTTAAGCAATGAAATGAACACGTTCCTTAATCTCCAAACTTCATTTTAATTTTTAAAACCCTCTGATATCCCAGCATAACCCAAAAGGGACGCACAATCTAGGCATACACTCTCTTCTGCTGTTACTTCTCATAAGTCATTTAATAGATAATAGCAGATTAATTATAACTGAGAGTTTAACAAATCCCCATCACAAGGGTTTACCTATCCCTGCAGAGGCAGAATACGTTCAAAGGACATGGAGATAGCCTACTTGTTGATAAGCATACATAAAAGGCCTATGCTATGTCCTAAATTTGAGGGTAGACAGGGATCACAGATGCATTCGCTGAGCTGAAGGCTTGTCTGTCAGATCACACTTGTGCTCACATAGGCACTACAGAGTGGTGAGTTAAAGTCTTCAGTGCCGCTAATCCCAAGTGTTCAAAACTCGTGAGATTCACTTGAAAATCCTGAGATATTAAAAAGAATAGGTTGGCTGTTCTCTTATTTGCCTTCTGATTTTCGTGCCTTTTTAAAGATTTCTTGTTTTCAAGATTTTTCTCTATTGAGATAAGAATGAGAAACCTGACACCAATGAAACTATCATCGGTCTACACTGGCCAAAGTTCTCTCTGAAAAAAACCAACCCACCAAATTTAAACTGAAATTCTCCTGTAAGCACAAGACTCCAGGACATGGGGACCACAGAAAAGCAACAACTATTGTGAGGTGCACGAGACAGTCACAAGGACTGGCACCCCTGTTGTTGCGGACATGAGGGTATTGACTTTATAGACAGAGATGATGGAAAAAGTGAGAAACTAGGTTTGCTTCTGTGTTGATACAACCACTGGTCTTGAGCATACACAGTCTTTTCCCCCCCTGGATGTTCTGTTGAAGAGTGAGTGAATGAATCAAAGCAGGGAAAGAAAGAGACACTCTGGGGGAACAGGCGGACTCTGCTGAAAACCACCTACTACTATAAGAAAGTTGCTCGTGTCATGGTCATTTACTGGATGTGCTTTTTCAACTAGAAGGAGGATTAAAAAACATTTAGCCTCCCCTGTAAAAAAACAAAAAAAAGCCTGACTTTAAATTACAGGAGAAAATGCGTGGGAACTTGAAGTAATGTTACGGACCCAGAAAAGAGTGAGAGACTCACTGAACAAGTCTGCAGCCTACCCATCATCAGCCTGGAGTGGGCCCAGTGCTAGCTAATCCCATTTGCTTTTCATTATTTTTGCTGCCATTTTACTCCCTGCATTTCCCTAACTCGCTGACACAATCAGTGAAGTCAGTTTAATATTTGATCTTAGCTCATTTCAGCTCTGCCATATTTAGGTAACAAATGCCGGAAAAAAAAGATTTATGTGCCCATTTGCCCCAGGCTACATATCCTGTGTGCCATTCAACAGCTGTAATTTCTGACTGCATTTTAGGGGGAACGTCAAAGGATCAAAGAGAGTCAGAGAGCAAAAGCCTCACGGATGATACCCCTCTGGCAAAGGGAAAGTGCCCTGACCTAGCAGCCAGGAGCTCCACAGACTGTTGTTAATACTTCTCTACAATTTAAAGCCCTCGTTGCAGATCCAATCTCCATATGACAACAAGGAGGTGAGCAAATACCAGTCTCCCACCTTACAAATAAAGTAACGGAGAAGTTGTACATGGCCACTTCTCAGAACGGTGAAGAGAAGCTCAAATGTGGTACCACCTGGACTGTCCCTCGGGTTTCACAATAAATGACCCATGTCTACGTACTTGGCTCTACCCTCAGGAACCATTTCTGGAACCGTACACACTCTGGTGCAGCGCCCGGGAGTCTGATTCACAAAGTACCACTGCAATGTCACAAGCGGCTGTGCAACCACTGATGGGCTGTGTGTACCTGTATGTGTGATTACCTTTACACTGCTTCACAGTGAGGATAATCAGAAGCTGAAAGTTTAGACCCTTCAGGGTGGAAAGGAGGATGCAATTATGCCATTATTACATGAGCCTAACAGATAAGCATAAAGAGGTCAAGACTGCAAAGGTAACATTTCCTGATCACCTATTATAAAGGTCACCTGATGTTCCCATTAGAAATATTCCATTTTCAGATTTTATAACTTTCCCAAACGTCAGTTGTTACATGGCTTGGGCCTGCTTGGATTTGGGAGAAAACCTTTAGCCAAAGAGGTCCATTATTTCTGAAAGTGGTTAGAGAAAATAGTCATAATTTGCCCACAAGAAATAGTTCAGATGGCCTTTCCCTTCAACAACTCTAGGACTTCCATGTTTGGTATAAAAGATCATCTATTATTAAGTTTTGTTTACGAGACTAGTATAAGAGGTTTGCCCAGCATCACACACAAGCTCCGGGAGGCAGATAGGAATACAATGTAATTTTCCAAGGCAGTATTCAACTCCCTTAGCCACGAGACTGCCTCTTTTCTTTCTGCAAGTCCTTGCTTCATTCTTGAAACACCTTCCAACCACTACAACCAATGAGATAGGTCATGTAGGCATATACCCTTCAATCCACAGCCCCAGTCAGTCCCCAGAGAAGGTCCCTTCTGTCCACTGGGAAAGGTAGGGGTCCCTCTGGAAATAGTTTAGGCAATAGTTATTTCCTAAATTCCTAGCACTTCCTAAATTCCAAGTCCTTGATTCTGCAGTCTCAACAATGGTCTTTTCACATATCTACTTGTAGGCAATAATTGCACAGATGATTTCACATATCATCTATATTATGCTATATTAACAGCATGTTAATATTGCGAGGCCAAGTGTGCAATAGTTGGAAAATCCAGAAGTAAGGAGAGCTGGGAAACCTGAATCCTATTTCATTTTTGCATATTATTCACATAATAACTCTAGGCACCTTTAATTCTGGCATAAATAGATATGATCCCACGTTAAGATACCATTTACTGGGACTGGCTATCTCACAGATTCAAAGAAGTTTAGGGCTGGAAGGGACCTCATGAGATCATTGGGTCCAGCCCTACTGCTCTGGGGAGAAAAAACTCTGAAACCTTCTTCTACTGAAGCCATTGCTAAGGGAGTCGTCTACCTCTGAGTCAGGAATTTGAAGTCAGCACTAGACCTAGTCAAACCTCTGCAGGCAGAATGTGCATCTGCCAGAAAATGCTGTGAAACAATTTGTGTTTTGCAAATCAAAAATCTATCACTTCTGATAAAAGTCTGTCTCACAGAAAACAAACAGGGGAAAAATATATCTCAACAAGGCTGAAGCTGTTGTGATCATTTCTGGTAGTGTTAGGGTCCGGGAGATGTTGTAACCATGATGGCCCAGCAAGGATTTATTTTCTTGGACCAACTGTATAGCTGGGATGGAGTTAGACAAGCTTTCGAACACACGACATGCTTCTTCAGGTCTGAGCAGTGAAAGCCAACACAGCATAGTAAAAGAAAACAGTTGTAACAGGGGGAGCGAAATCCCCAAGGGTAGCAGACAAACAAACAGCAAAAGAAAAGAGGCAGATTACTGGGAGATTGAGGCCTATCAAAAAGGTGGAGGATCTTTCTCACCTTTCATGTCTGGGGAGAATTCAGGGGTCAGGTAGGTTATAATGAGCCAGAAAACCAATATCAGTGTTAAGTCCTTGGTTCTTAGTGTCCAGTGTCTGGAAGGGAAGGTTTTAATTTGCTAGTTCAAAAGGGCTTTCCATTTCTACATGGAAAAACTGAACTCTAAATGAAAAATTTGCATTTTATCAACATGACCTATTTCTACTGGTCCAATATGAATTTACTTTATTACTTTTTCCATGGGAAATTAGAGTTGTTGCCCCCCTGTCAGATCAAGAAAATGTTTGAAATCACAGATTCTCCTACAAAATAAAACAGTGTGCTTTCCACCCTGTTCTGTTCAGCCCGTCTCAGTAGGGACTGAAAAACTGTTTCCTTCTAGCAGATGCCTATTCATTTCCAGACACCAAGCTCATCATTGTGTGTTGCTTCAACTGGCAGCATCTCGGAAAACCCATACAATTAAGGGCAATCCTTCCTCCAACCGGATCTCGCCTGCAGGGGTCTGCAAGAGCCAAGGGTAAGAGAAGCTTGCCTTGGCTGCACCCTTGTAGGTAAACAGGAGAGTTTGTGCATCGGCGCTCTCCTTCTTTTGCTAGCCCCAAATCTGCACAACTTCTAAAGCACGGGTTTATTAAATGATTGAATAAAATGTCACAAACAACTTGGCAGCTGTTTGTTTTAAAACAACGATTTCTATTGATGCGTTAAAAAATCCCTCAATAAAATTCTATGTTCTAGGCTGCTGGAAAAACTTGTTGTGACAAAACCTGACTCTTGTGGTAAACTGGAGTTGACAACGTCCCTTTAAATCACGCGCAGCCAAAATCACAACATATCAGATGGTTTCTCTGGGAGCTGAACCTTACCTTTCCACGTGGTCGACATTGCCTGCCACACCAACACCTCCAATGGTGTAGATTTTCCCATCGTACACCAGGCTGTTATGTCGACACCTCGGGACTGTCATTCGGGATACAAGATTCCAGTTATCAAGTAAGGACATGTAACACCAGACATCAGAGAGCGTGACACCAGACTCCATGCCACCTGCCGTCAATGTGTGAGTGAGAGGAGAGGAAAGGAGAGAATTAAGTGAGCTCTTGGAACGCTGGCAGTTCGCTGCATGTTGCAATCAAAGCCAGTTACAAAGTAAAAACTCTTCAAATGACATTTGACTAATTAAAATAAATCACCCTCGATACTGAGCATCTGTTCCGATGATGCAGATCTGTGTCATTTATTCATGCGTCCCAAAGGTTTTTTTTTTTGGTTTTTTGTTTTTTTTTTCAAGATGACACAAGGAAATCAAGATGTCAGACTAAGAGGGACATGTGCATAAGGGAATATACCCTTCCAACATCCATAAATAACATCCAATCTATTAAATTACTGCAACACTTGCAAGAAGGTGTCACGAGGCAGAGAGTGCCTGGCTTAATAGATACTGCCTGGTTTGAAATCTAGACTGCTGACTAAAAGATAGAAAACAACTTGGTGAACAGTGAGATTAAAATAAAATAAGTAGACAAGAATTCAAGGTTTAACTCCTAATGCTCTGGCATCACTTGGCTGTCTAGTTCTGCTACATTAGAGCGCAGCGCTGCAGCCACAGCACTGATGAAGCGAGATGCTAATACTGGACAACTGTGTAGCTGCGTCTAACTGGGGCTCACAAAGAGTTTAGCTTCCCACACTCCATGGTAGGGGGGAGGATTATTATGCTCATTTTACAGAACAGGAAACTGAAGAACAGAAAGGTGAAATGATTTATCCAAGACCACACTAGGAGTCAGCAGCCGAGCCAGTCTCTCAGTTCTGCACGCTAATGACAAAACCATCCTTCCTCCTTGGTATTTGCTTTGCTTAAGGATATTTCATTCCCTCCCCTCCCACTGTGCAGTGTGAAATGCCCCCATTTCAGTTTGCAGGAGATCATTTTTTACTTTGTGTTCCAGGTTTGAGTAAAGCAAACAAAATAAGCTAGTCTGGCATAGAAATCGTGTGAGGCTCTTGACTTGAATATATTTTCCATCCAGCACTAGAAATTGGCCCAGATCCCCTTGAAACCTGGCACGAGTTCACAGGAAGGGGTTGAAATAAACTTAGGGGTTGGGTTTTGTTCATCTTTCAGACACCACGGAGCCTGGAGTGGGGAATCGTAGTGGGAAACCTTTGCACTCCAGTGAACAAAATAGCCAGCACCGCATAAAGACCTCCACTGAGGACCTGACCTCCAGTAACAAAACAAAGGGATGAAGCTACACTGATCTCAATAACTTTTATTCAGCTCCAGGGGCCTCTAGTCAACATAAGTAAGATGATAGGGGAATTTAAATTTGTATAAACACTTCTCGTCTACAAGTCCTTCCCCTCTTGCCATCACCCTTACTCTCCATGACCACCAGGGGGATCTTTACCTCCACCCAGTAGAGATTGCTTTCGTTCCTCAATCGGAGAAGTACCATATGATTGAATATAAACGGACACCTTTATACTACACGTCCAAGCCGCAGTCAGTAACTCTTTCAGTTAAACCCTCTTCAGGAGTGTGGGCTCAGTTTCATTGAAGCTAACAAGATTATAGGGCTACAGACTACTGTCAAAAGAGAGATTTAAAGAACAGGTACCAAACGTGAACGCTCTTGTAAGCAAATATTGTAAGTGTAGGTCACATATTCAAGCAGCTCAGCTGATCTGTCTTGAATGCAGTAACCCACCATTTAGGCTCGACTCCAGCCAGTATTTTAAATTGTGTTGTTACAGTAGGGAAACCTCTTTGCACGCTTGATGGTTGTCGAACCTATTCTCTACACGTTATAACTGCAGAATGGGCTGTTGACTGCTCTGCAAGGAAATTAAGTCTGAAGTGAAATGGAGAATGGTGAAAGCAAGTTCCCCTCTGCCCATCCTTCCTTTTAGTGACAGCTGGATAAGACTAGCACATGCTCTTCCCTGCTTGCAGTGCACAATGTATTTTTGCGAGGGGCCAGCCCTTCTCTATGCCCAAGTGGTATGCCACTTACCTGAAAGATAGA